TCAAAGGGATATATGCACCTCTGTTTACTGTAGCATTATTTACAACGGAAAAACTATGGAAGCAACCCAAGAGCCCGTTAATAGATGAGTGGATAAAGAAGATGTGACACACACACACACAAAATGGAATATAACTCAGCCATAAAAAAATAATGAAATCTTGCCATTCGCAATAACATGGAGAGAGCTGGAGAGTATCATGCTACGCAAAGTAAGTCAAAGAAAGACCAATACCATATGATGTCACTCATATGTAAAATTTAAGAAACAAAACCAATGAGCAAAGGAAAGAGAGAAACCAAGAAACAGACTCTTAACCAATTTTTAAAAATGAAAAAAAAACACGTTTATTTATTTAGAGAGAAAGAGTGACCAAGGGAGGGGCAGAGAGGGAGACAGGATCTGAAGCAGCTCTGTGCTAACAACAGAGAGCCTCATGCAGGGCTTGAACTCACAAACCACGACCTGAGTGAAAGTCGGATGCTTACTGACTGAACTACCCAGGTGCCCCTAAATCTTTTTTTTAAGTAGGCCCCATGCCCAGTATGGGGCTTGAACTCATGACCTTGAGATCGAGTCACATGCTGTACCAAATGAGACAGCCAGGCCCTCTAAGAAATAGACTCTTAACCAGAGAGAAAAAACTGATGGTTACCACAGGATATGTGGGTGGGAGGATAGGGGAAGTAGGGGATGGGGATTAAAAGGGACAGTTATCATGATAAAAAAAAGATTAAATGACTTAAAAAAATGAAAGGAGCTATTGATTTTTATAGAGGAGCACTCTATAAACTGGAAGGTACCACCCAAAGATAATCCTTGTTATATCAAAAAAAAAAAAAAAAAAAGTGACTTGAAGATTTTTTTTTGGATTACCAATCTATGTTTATCTCCATAACATACTCCTCATTTAGCAAATCAGACTGTAGTTATCTTGCCACATGCTTCCCACCCTCCCCGTCCTGCCTGTATAGAGCTATTGACGTTCACAGTTTTTTTCAAGGGAGTTGGTGTTATTTAAATGGCAGATAGATCAAAGATAAAGAAAAAAATTAGGGAACTCTTTGCGATAAAGATATAGTTCAATTCAAGTGAAGTAACTCTTGAGAAATTTCCTCTTAATTGTGAAATAAGACTCATAAGGTAGATGAGTTTTTCTCTTTTGACTATGAAGAGGAGAGTAGCGACTGGGAGTTAAAACTTTCCCCTTAGAACAAAAGGGCAGTTGTAGCATTTCCTAAACTCACAGCAATTATTTTTTGTACAATTGCATGGGCACTTTCGGATTCAAAGGTCCTTTTTGTGGGAGGTAGGTGAATTTAAATAGTTCTTTTCATCTTTCATTAGTATATAACTTTTTCACATATGTATTTTGTTTCTGCAGGAGTACAATCAATTTCTTGAGGGTAGAGCATGTTTCTGACACATCTTAGCATCTCTGAGTGCCAGAAAAAATAGGTGCTTACCATCAGGATCAGGTAATGTGCATAAGTTCATTTAATTTAAAAAAAGAATTTAAAACATTTATTTTGAGAGAGAGTGACAGCAAGCAGGATAGGGGCAGGGAGAGAGAGAGAATCCCAAGCAGGCTCTGCACTGTCAGCACAGAGCCCAATGTGGGGCTCGAACTCACGAACTGTGAGATCATGACCTGAGCCAAAGTCAGGAGTTGGATGCTTAACTGACTGAGCCACCTAGGCGCCCCTCATTTAATTTTTGTAACAACTACTAGAGAAGAGCTATTACTCTCATTTTATAGATGAAGAAACTGAGGCACGAAATACAGCTCCAGTAAGAAGTCCAGCTGGAACTGACTTCACTTGGCTGATTAAGCAGGTTAGGTAAATCCTACCCTAGTATCCTGCAGCATCTGTCTTCAGTGAACAGGTCAGGTACTTTCTGGAGAGAGATCTGCGACTTCACAGACCTTGCAGAATAGGTTGTAGGACTACTTGCTAATAAATGTTTGATGAATTTGGCCCGAGGCCATCTTTCACTTTAACACACCATCTGAGAGAAGATGGTGGAGGGGCCCTGTAGCTCAACTTATCTCTTAACTATTGGAGGCTACTTCTGTCTGCCCAAAAGAAGCTAATAAGTGTGAATGACCAAATTGACAGGTTACTTTATAATTTCCTTCTCCTTAGTTATCTCCATCTAGAAGAAATCTAGTCTCAGAGAGTCTAATAATGTCTTGTGAAGATTTATCATACATTTCCATGTGGTCGCCACTGGGGCTATGGTCTCTGACGTGGAGCCCTTGCTGCAGAATGTTAGCCTTTGGAACACAGTGGGGCCTGTGGGCTGAAATTTCAAGGAAGCAGCAGTTAGAAATTTAATGTCTCCAAACACTGCAGATTTCCTGGATATTTCCAATATCAATGAACGAAGCCACTGAAGTTAAATGATTGCAGCTGTTGCAATGGCCCCTCCCACCTTCCTTTTGGTCCACTGTCAAGGAAATCCTGTGTTAGTGACCCTGTCTCTCCTGTACATCTATCTCATATGTCCCCATTGCAAGCTCCCCTATCTCAACTAGCTCCATGTTCCAAAAACACTGGAGATTTTTGTCCTAGCTGGTTGTTTGGTATCCCAAGTAGTCTCGTAATTGCTTGTGAATTACAGGTCTATTTAGACTTTGTGATGAGAAACACAGAATTGGTACTTTTAAAATGTTTTAAAAAGTAAAAAATATATATGAATATAAGCAATGAATCAAAACCTATAACCTAGGTATAAAGTCGATTATCCACTATAATTGGTGAAACTATGGACCATGCTCTCCAGACTGATTTCATACAAACATTTAAGTTTTCATTTCACAGTAATTTGAAAAGCAATATGCACAGTTAGGGTAAAATTTGGAGTTCTTGTTTATTCCTAATTCATCTAGAACAGTGCTGATGGAACTTTACAGAAAGTTTTAATCTGTGCTGTCCAATAAGGTAGCCACTAGTCATACATGATTATTGAGTACTTTATTTTTTTAAATTTTTTTAATGCTTATTTATTTTTGAGAGAGAGAGAGAAAGAGAGAGAGAGAGAGAGAGAGCAAGCAGGGGAGGGGCAGAGAGAGAGGGAGACACAGAATCTGAAGCAGGCTCCAGGCTCTGAGCTGTCAGCACGGAGCCTGACGCGGGGCTCCAACTCAGGAGCTATGAGATCATGACCTGAGCTGATATCGGATGCTTAACTGACTGAGCCACCCAGATGCACTGACTAGTACTTTAAATGTGGCTAGTGCAACAGAGGAATTGAGTTTTAAATTGTTTAAATAGTCACATGTGACTCATGGGTACCTTATTAGAACAGATCTAGAATACAGTGATGACCTTGTAACAGGATAGTCTGTTATGTTGCAGCCACAAAGAACCCTAAAATCTTGATTTATAAGAACAAAGATTTATTTCTTACTTGTGTTATCTGCCCATTTGGGGTTGGCTGGGGACCCAGGCAGATAAAGTAGTCACCATCTCACATGTTGCCAGTCATCATGGAGAGTCTTGCACTAGTACTTAAATCCTCTGGCTCAGAAGGGACGCACATCACTTTCTACTCACAGCTTACTGACCAGGACTAGTCACAGCCCCATCTAGCCAGGGAGCCAGCAAAGCTGTGCCAGGGGGCAAAGAGCCTCAGTAATGACTGGCACAGATATTAGCCTCCCTTTCAAAATACGGAGGAGTTCCTAAGGGGTAAAGAAAGTAGTATTACCTTGTGTTTTCTTAAAAAGTGGGAGAATTGAATTTCTTTAGAATTATCCTTTATCTCCTTGATACTCATTAGCATAGATTTATTAAAAGCAGGTAAAATGTGAAAAGTAAAAAACTCAAACACTTTGATTAAAAAGAAAAAAAGACTCAGGACACCTGGATGGCTCAGTTGGTTAAGCGTCCGACTTCGGCTCAGGTCATGATCTTCAGGTTCATGAGTTCGAGCACTGCATTGGGCTCTGTGCTGACAGCTCAGAGCCTGGAGCCTGCTTCGGATTGTGTCTCCCTCTCTCTGTGCCCCTCCCTCGCTCATGCTCTGTCTCTCTCTCTCTCTCAAAAATAACTTAAAAAATTTAAAAAAGAAAATGGCTTTAAAAAAGAAAAAAAAACTATACAAAGTTAGAGCTGACAATAGCATGTCTTTGTAATTATACACAGAAATATCATTTAATATGAAGTTCTGCAATGTAAGCAGCAACCAATGGATTTTTGTATGTTTGGGATGAAAATGGAATGGGAGAAAATGTATATGTTATTTTTCCTGGTGCAGAACATGTATGGTACATTTTTCCCTAATGAGGAATAAAAAATCCTTGTCTTTAAAACTAGTAATTTCCTCACTAGGAACATTTGTGGATTGTGACTGCCTTTAAAAAATGAAAAAAATTAAATATTAACTGACCAATGGATTGTTTCCTTCCAGACTACACCATAGAATCATAGAATCATCTAGTCCAATATTTATTAGCATGTCTTAATTGTTTCTAGAATATCTATAATATTGTTTGAACACTCAAGACATAAGAGGCTCACCATCTGATAACAGATTTCCTATAAAGCAGGAGCATTATCAGGAATTTCCTCCTAACAAATGTTTTGATGTCAAGACACGGAAAGATGGAACTTGGTTGCCAGTAAGAAACTGCACCAACGTTACAAATGCAAACCAAGCCCTGGTAAATAATATTAATGATGATGATTTTGTCACACGCCAAAAATGTCATATAGGTTTTAGCATTATGAGGATCCTATAGATATTAAATATCTGTAGAATGTAATTGAACCAAATGACACTCCAGAGAAATTTTGAACATGTGCAAATCAAGCTGCCTATTAGCAACAAGAACTACGTCAGTCATCCTGTTCCTTAGTGAATCACAACCATCTAAGCCATTCATGCAGCACAACATTTGTTTGTTTCCAGGATCCATCAGGGTAGTCTACAGCTGGTGGCATGGCAAGAAAGAGGAGGCTGCAGAGACTGAACAAACAGCATGCACTGTGGTATCCTTTATTTAAAAATTGTGAGCTAACTACAGTTGTAGTGTTCTCATTTACCATTCTGATGGCATAATAAACTGCGAGAACATTAACACAATTTCAAGACATTAAAAATCTGTAACAAACACACCACACATGCACACACACACACAACATACATGCACACAAAGGTTATAGTCTTCTAAACACAGTTAAGTGAAGAAAAGCTTCAAAAGCTCTAAATCAAATTTTAAAACCCTTTATTATAAACCGTGGCAATACTGTGGCTATTATGAAAAAATTGTAACTGCTAAAAAAGCAAAAAGAAAAAATACTGGCAAATTTGAAACTAGCAGCAAAAAGCAGATAAAAATAGAATGGAAGGTAACATAAGACTACTATCAAAGTTCTGAAGTTGATCCTGTGTAGGGTTGCACTGAAGTCATTTCAAATTGGTTCTTGAGGAACTATTAAAAAGTCCCTTCAAATATTAAATTGCTGCACTTTACAAACAGTGGAAAAGAAAAAAGTATTTGGAATGTTACACACACACACTCAGAGGAAATGTATTAGGCATATTAGTTTATAGTCTTTGTTTATGACCTTCAAAAAGTTTATAAAGAAAAATTTAAGTGCCAATGTAGTGAAAGAAAAATTTCTAAAGATGCAAGTCTGAGTGCATTTATCAGGTCTAAGAATACATTTGAAGGCTGGGGGGCAAGGCATGACTGATGCACATTCAAGAAGAAAACATCGTGGAACCCATAAGGTAGGTAGAGTCCTCTGGAGAGTGTTTAGAATTGAAGGCATGTTAAACTCAGACTACCCTGAAGGAGATTCCAAAGTATGTGCAGTTCTACAGCCCTTCATCAGTTGAAATCCGTTTCACAGCGGCCAATAAATAATTAAGACTAACTTTTTAGGAAACTGCTTTTTCATACATTCAAACACAGAAATCTTTACCACACATGCAGAGCTGATCTTCTATAACAGCACAAATACGAATCCTGGTTTCAGAAGAAAAGCACATTAGCAAGGATTTTTTTTTTCACAGGTTCTTACAAAAATGTCTGAAGCTGCTAGACATCTGCAAAGAGGGGATAAGTTTAGATTTCCTACTGATTTTGGAAGAAAAGAGATTCTATTCTCCTAAAGAAGCCAGCCACCCATGAGCAGGGGACCTGTCTTCAGAATCTAAGAAGCATAATGTCCTTAGTGCTTAAACTCATGGCAAATTCAGATCCAGAAAAACGGGTAGATACATCAGGGGAGAGAAATGAAGTTTGAATGTGTACAGTATACTTTGGAATAAAATGTGCCTCATACGTTCAAATGGCTCAACTGCTTTCAGAATGGCGTGCTGCAGGGCTGGAGGAGACTCGGTTCTCTGCAGTTAGGAGCTGGGAGAGAGATCTCTTTCTCCAGGGACCTTCTGGGCTGTGACCACAGGGCCTTATTTTTCATGAGTGCTTTCAGTTAGGGAATTTATGACCTTACCCAGATAAAGATTTCTTTTGGTTACTTTCTCTTTAAAATCAACTGATGAGGCAAGTTACTGGTAGTATCTTAAGGTGCCAGCTAATTCAAATTAATGCCCATCAATAACTGCTGCTAGGTGTCAACTGCTGTTGCAGAACAATCAACCCCCAAAAGACCTAACTAGATAATCTATCACACTAGGTGCTTTTACTATCTTGGATTTTTTGAGCTTTAGAGAAATAGTCTTTGTAAGACGACTTAGAAACTGCTTCTCTCTGGCTTTCACTCTTCCTCTTCTTCCTCTTCTCCTTCCCCTTCCCCTTCCTCCATGGTTTCCACAATGAGCTCTGCTGTGCAGGTGGCTTCTCCGAGACTGTTGACAGCCTTGCAGGTATACTTGGCATCGTCATCCCCGCAAACATCACTAATGATTAAAGAGCAGTTCCCATCCTCGTCGTAGTCTATCTGGAAGTGGCGGGACTCCCGGATTGACTGGTCATCTTTGAACCAGACAACTTCAGGGTCTGGGTATCCTGCAGCACAGGGAGGGAACACAAGTTTCTTATCAATTCGTGCAAGCAATTCGTAAGCAACCTCTATTGATTAACGGGGTACAGGGAAAGTATGATGTTGGCTTTTAGCATCTGTTTTGAGATTTACATTTGGATATGGGCATATATTGTAAATACTGATATCCAAAACCCCGCAAAAAAAGGTGTCATATAGTCATGTCACTTACCATCCACGTGGGGCTTGTACTGCTTCCCACCTTTATACAGATCTAGAGTACTACCTGGAACACAGCCTTGACTCCAACTGCACTCCTAGAGCTAAATAAATAGGTCCTTGGACGAAAAGAAAATTTCTTGTATAATAGTTAAATAAATTTTTTTAATGTTTACTTAGTTTTGAGAAAGAAGGAGAGAAAGCACGAGTGGAGGAGGGGCAGAGAGAGAGGGAGACAGGATCTGAAGTAGGCTCTGTGCTGACAGCACAGAGGCTCAAACTCACAAACCATGAGATCATGACTGGAGCCGAAGTCAGACACTAAACTGACTGAGCCATCCAGGCGCCCCTGTTCTCTTATTTTTTATTTAAATGTGTTTAAGTTCGGGGTGCCTGGCTGGCTCAGTTGGTTGAGCACGACCTTTGGCTTAGGTTGTGATCTCATGGTTCATGAGTTTGGGCTTTGTGCTGATAGGGCAGAGCCTGCTTCGGATTCTCTGCCTCCCTCCTTCTCTGCCCCTCCCCTGCTAGTTTGGGCGTGCTCCCTCTCCCTCTCTAAAAAATAAATAAATATTAAAAAACATTTTTTAAATTAAAAAAAAGAGCAAATAGGCACGAGAGATCTTTGGAGATGATGGAAATATTCTAAAATTGGTTGTGTGATTGCATAATTCTGTAAATCTAACAGAAGATAATTTAACTGTACACATAAAATAGGTAAATTTTATGGTATGTAAATTATAACTCAAAGCTAATGACAGCTCTATAATAAATTAGAGGAGCTGATAATATTGCTTAAAAGAAAAGCCATTATTTGTTTTAGTCTGATCCAAAGACAGATAAACTACTTATGGATAACTGGAAATTGGCCACATGGGTTAGCCTCATTTTATATGTTAGTCATGTTTATGCAAAGTTCAGCATTTAAAAAATATTATATAG